TGACCCTGGAGACCCGTAGCCCCGGGGCTGCAGTGGCCCCGCGGAGCACAGGAGGTGGGCACCAGTCTTTCTGGCTCCCGACGCCCCCGCAACTCCCCACCCCGTAGGCCTAGATACGCGCACTTGGGTCTCTGCATTTGGCGGGCAAAGTCCCGCGGGAGGCCGCCCCGAAGTCCGCCGGGCTTTTTCGGTATCGCAGCCCGAGACCGTCGGGGACGCGCTCCACGCGGCTATTTATTGACCCTAACGAGAAACCACCTTGGAGAAGCAAGCAAGCGCGGACGCCCGCACTGGGGAGGGCCAAGCCTCTCACCCAAACTAGTCCCCGGCTGGGCCCAGAGGTGGTCGGCAGGAGCGTCTTCGGAAAGCCGGTCGCAAGCTCTGCTCCGCCGGGGGAGTCGCCCCTGGGAGAGGGCCAGAGGTGACGCCAGGAGCACTGGGGTTAAGGAGACGCCAAGGTGACTCGTGCCCGTTAGAGACGAGACCAAGGGCCGAAGGGTAAAAAAAGCTGGTCAGCTCTAAAGTGTCGCGCTCCCGCCGAATGCGGAGACGCTCCCCGGGCGGGCAGCAGGACCCACGCGACGCGCAGAAGCGGAGCTGCGCCAAAAGCGCAGGACCTCAAAACCGAGGGCTGCAATGAACCCGCAGCACAAGATCCCGACAAAACCGGCGGCAGGAACGACCCCGAAACGGGCCACCCGTGGCCGCAGCTTTTGTTCGCCCGCGTCGCCCCCGGAGAGGCTGCGCACTGTCCTCCCCAGCAGCCGCGGGGGGCGCCCATCGTCGCCCCGGCGCGCCGTTCCTTCACTTTCCGTTTCCTCCCCTCCGGCGCGTGGGCTCTCCTCAGCCAAGCCCGACTTCGCGGGGGAATTACTGAAGCTGGGCGGCTGCTCCTGGCGCACTCCCCCCGGAGGACGCCCACCCCCGCCTTCCCAAACACCTAGGGAGAAGACCTTCACACCTCCGCGGAGAAAACCGACATCGCGGCCGGCCCGCCGCCCGCTCCACCTTATCGGGGCTCTGTGCAGATAAACCTCCGACCCACTGCAAGGCGCGAAACGAGGCAGCCTGGCGCCAAACAAAGAGCAGCGCCGCCGGCGGGCGCTCACCGCGGAGCTGCCACTTCCCGCAGCCGACCCGCACACGCGCCCCCCCAACACTTCCGATTCCAAACGCGCTCGAGTTTCAAAGTTATTTCCGTGCGCCCCGCGGGCCGACGACCCCCTAGCCGGGCCCCTGTCCTCCCGCCGCCGCTCAGGCGAGTAACAAACAAGTTTCCGGAGCCGAGGAGCAGTCTTCCCTCGAGCCCCTCAGCCTCCGTACCCATCCTCCCCCGGGTCTCCGAGGGTGCCCGGCCCACTCAACGACTGGCATCACGTCTGCCCGCGGCGCTTCCCGCCCCCTCCCCCGCACACAAAGAGTGGGCTGCCTTGAGGGCCTAGGCCCGACCCCCCGCGGGAGAGAGCAACTGCGGGCTCAGGGAAGCCCAGCCGCCGCGCGCCAAACACAGCTCCGGCGACAACAGCGCTCGGACCCCGAAGGGGCGGGCGGCGTCCAGCTCACCTTGGTGGTGATCTCAGAGCTGGTGTCCACGGCTGTGTCTGACATGGTGGGGCACGCCGGTGATCCGATGTAGCGGATTTTTTTTTTTCAAAGCGAGAGTTGGAGGACTCTGGCGAAGAAGCTGCCGGAGTCCGCGGCGGCGGAGGAGGCGCGCGGCGGAGGTGGCTGCGACGAGCGGAGAGGCGGCCACAGGAACAATGCAAAGATGGCTTTTCAGAGCAGCCAGTGGGGAACTCACGCGGCGCCAGAACCTTTAATATAGATTAGTGGGCGGCACCCAGCCTCCCTTACCCAAATGCTATTGGCTGAGCCCAGGGAGCGGGCGTTCGCTCATTGGCTCCAAACCGAACAATGGGCAAGCGTGCTTAAAGCGGCAGTGCCTTGGTGCGTCCCGCGCTGCGCAGTCGCCGGCCGCACTGTCATTCAGTCTGATTTTGCTGGGTCTCAGCGGCGCCGTCGCCGCCGGGAAGGGCGCGCGCGCGCGCGAGCT